TTCAATTTAAAGGGTAATAAAATATTACCCTTTAAATTGAATGTAATATTTTCCTTATAACTTTTACAAAAACACACAAAAATTATAAATAAGTATTTGTATTTGTGTATAAGCTGTTTAGATTGTCAAAAAGCCTGTGTTTTTAGGGTTATTAACAAAGTTCATGTACTCATACCAGTAATATTTGGGGTCACAAGTTTTTGCCATGGATATTTTGTGGGTCAGAAGACAAAAAGTTTGGGAACCACTGATCTAGACCACAATGCATTGCAAGATACTGACTTTAAACATTTGTATTTGTAAAAAGCTCAATTAGCCTGTTTTTGATTGTAATGTGTTAAGAGTTTTGAAAGAAAGAATCATAGTAGTAGTACTATTAAAACTATATGGTAGTGCTGCAAGTTTGATAAAAAATACTTGGTAATCGGAAATAAACTCAGACGTGAAATGGTCAGACGCAGAATAAATGCACCATTTTGTGTTGAAATGAAATGTTTTCCTTCAGGCAACAAAAAGGTAGAACTTACCTGTCACAGCTTTAGCTATCAGAGAGCTGTTGTGTTCCTTGTTGCCCCGCAGCTGAAATTAGGGAAGACATTAAAAAATGTGTTATTCTGCTTTATTTTAAAGAAACCAAACTGTTTAATTGGCATCCATATTACCGGTCTAAATGTTCAATCAAAACTATAACTGAGTACATTTTAGACTGAATAATTATTTGATTTAATAATGAAATTAACTGTCAGTCTGGTATAGGTTTAGGCAAAATGCGTGTTAGAACTCTTGACAACAACAACAATAAATGCATTATTATTACTTACTACTCATTTGGAGTATGTAAGGAACACTTTGCTATGATGCAAGAATATGAAACCTTTGTTTTCACTGAAAACCAACACAACTTATCCCATGTTTTTTTGCTACGTGGCTCTGCGCGGCTGATCATTTCTTCCCTTTATGCCTATTTTTATCCAAATAATATTAAAACTGAGGCACAAKCAAACGACTACAATAAAAACAAGTTTAATATGACTAACCTGAGTGTCAGTCTCTGGCGGCCACTCAGTAATAACAAGTAAATCGTACAAAATATGTTCATCTTCGCCTTCCACCAAGCTTCCATCAGCCATGATTACTCCAGCTGTCAGGAATCTACGGCGAGTGGCGAGGGGCAAAATACACGGGGGGGAAATGTGTTGATGACGGACTAAAAATAAATTTTGCCGGTATATTTACCTAATATAATATTAAAT